TAGCGTCTAGTTTTCAGCTGTTTATAACGTTTGCTTTTAGGCAGCCACTAGCCATCACTTAGGACAGAATTTTTCGAAAATGTTCGAAATCATGTTTGAAAATCCCATAACGAAAGAGAAGGAAAATGTCTATCAAAACAGCTGGGGTCTTACTACGCGAACCATCGGCATTCTTACGATGATTCACAGCGACAATCGAGGCTTGGTTTTGCCTCCAAAGGTCGCAAAGATTCAGGTACTCTATGGTTGTTTGCATTGCAGATTTTCTTTACAAAGTCAGCATTTTTACATTCGATGCTTTGTTTTTTCAGTTTTTATATTCATATATTTGATTATATAATGTATGAAAATAAACCATGGCTTTTCACCACGTTTTACTTGACAGGTTTTGTCGTTAGCACTTGCTGGTTACAGTTGCGGTATGAGACCTGTCTTTATCTTTGAGTTCGACTGGAAACCTTCATACATGCGGACATTAGTTCTTGTCTCTTTACTCAATTTTTCAGACCTTGCTAAAAGGAACGTTTCAACGAAAAATTCTCATATCATTATTTGTCTAATTAACGGCTGTTAGAAAGCTAGTGATTCATATTTCTGATAATTTTAAACAAGCTGTGAATTTATCGACTTTATACATTCTACGCAAGGGACGGAACCGTTGGGCAGTTTTGTGATGTGTCTTTTCGCACGGGCGACGAACAAATTATCGCGAAGATCTACATAACTGTAGCTCAGTATGCATCATCTCGCACTTATGGTTCTTCACGCAGATAATTAGAATTCAGTTTCCGGTGAGTCTAGGTAGGCAACAGCCGAAAGAGCAGACTTGGGTTCGAATAGATCAGTCGATAAAATTTTTACCCTTAGCCAGCTACTAGATCGTTCGAGAACGTACAGATTGCCTCGTCATTTCCTTTTCGACTAAGAAACGGCGTTTGGCTAAGTCGAGTACAACACGGAATGGACAGCGCGTACAGAGCGGGATATCGATATACGATGCATAACTCTGCTGAAGCAAACTCCATGTTCACAACGAACAGCACGCTGCTCGGCACACCCCTTCGGATCTCAACTGAAACAAAGACAATTACTCCAAGGCTTTACACGGCCAGTTTACCAATGGTGTTTGAGCGGATGGAAAGAAGTTAAGTTCAATAGAGAGCAGTTCCTCATCTTTAGTAGCAGGTCAGAGTTCAGCGCCTTATTTATTGCGGGACGTTGAAAGGAACAGCTATTTCTTTTCCTGCAAGATCAGCTCACTGTCGAGTAATTATGTTTTAATATCATTAAAGCTCGCCATGCCGCCTTCCTGCTGATTGCATCATCTAGCGAATCTAGGC